AATGTTTATTCTTGCCATCTCCTGCTTGACCACATCCAGCTTACCAAGGTTCATAGATCTTACATTCCAGGTTCCTATGCAGTATTTTTCTTTGCGGCATTGGACATTCCTTTCACTTCTAGGCGCGTCCGCACCTGAGCATCCTTTCGGCTTTGGCCCAACCACTTCATTAGCTCTGGAGCTCCTTGTCCTTGTCCTCCACTCTTCCTCAGAAGCATGTTGGACACCTTCCGACCTGAGGGGCCCCTCTTCCAGGGAGACACATTAATTAGAGGTCTCGGAACAGCATCTAGTGCGCTGAGAAGGCCAATTTGAGAGTGACCATCCCTTCCACACGGAAGACAAATACAATCTGTCCCCTGTCCAGCTCCCTGATTTCGCTGGTTTCGGGACAGCCTCTTTCCCTCAGCCTGCTGGACAAGGGTGTCTTCAAATTGGGAGAGGCCGTGATGCACCGCCTGCCTTGTGCTTGTCCTCCGCTCTTCCTCAGTAGCATGTTGGACGCCTTCCGACCTGAGGGGCCCATCTTCCAACTTCATATCTTTTAACCTTTTGTTTCTGTCCATGGAATTTTCTTGGCAAAGACACTGGAGTGGCTTGCCAGTTGAGTCAGAACTCTCCACTAGGACCTGTCCATCTTGGGTGTCCCTACACGGCCAAGCCCATAGCTTCTCTGAGTTACTCAAGCCCCTTCGCCACAACAAGGCAGCAATCTGTGAAGGAGCTCTCTGGACTACAGTTCCCCAAATCCCCCCAACCAGCCATGCCTCTAAGCATGCACTGAGTGCCACCTTCTCCTTCCCCATGAAGCTCGGTGTCATGCATCTGGAATTAAGCGTTTGCAAAACCATCTCTGTCCAAGAGACTGGACTCAAATGAAGCATGCTGTCTCAGACCTCAGCGTGCTTTGTTTTAGAAAGGCACTGCCTCCACTTGCCTCCTGCCGGGTGCCATGCATGCCTCTGGCTTTCAGCAGCAGGAGATAGTCATGCAGGCCCTAAGAAGCTTCTTGTGATCCCGCTTTCTGGTGCTTGCGAGGGTAGGGATCACATGGGCTCATAAACTGCAGAGGAGGTCCCATCATGCAAGAGCAGCAGCAGAAAGGAACTCCAGATGCATAGACAGGAGAACAGATGGGGCAGTTTTTGGAGGCTCTAGATCAGTGGTCAGGGAACAGGGATAAATTACCCCAAGTGGGGTAAAAATGAAAATCCTGGGGGTAATGAGGATGGCGCGGCAGGCATTTCACTCCCAGGCATTTTATTTCCGACGATGCTGTGTGTAGGCGGACATTCCGTCGTGGGGAGACTGAGCCCCGGCTAGGAAATGCACAGGGCACCCACCTGCCCGCCCTCCTCACCTCCAAAGTGTGTGGGGGAGGGCAGCATACCGGGCCAGCTGACTCTTTGACTGGGTGGGAGCCCTGGTCAGGGCTCTCCTTCCTGGCCGCACCCACCTGCCTGGTGCTCTGGCGAGGAGGCCCCCTTCCTGCCCCGCCTCACCTGAGCTCATGGCCGGTGGACCTGCTGGTCCTGCGGCGCCCACAACCCCTTGCCAAGGACGTGGTTTCCTAGTGGTGTGGTGGCTCCAGACTGGCTGCCCAGGCGGCGGTGGCAGGTCCCGAGTGAGCGCGAGGGGGGGGTTGGCTGCGGATGGCAAGAGCCAAGGGGGGGTAATGTATATACGTATATAAATTTTTTAGGGGT